TTCAAGACAGGTTTTTCCAAACGCGACAGCTTTTTCGCATGACTGTATAAATATGAATAAAACAATAAACAAATCATGTAACAACTAAATTATCTCATTTGCTTCGATAAACTACTGTGTTTGATGGGAAAGAATCTTCACCAATATATTTGACACTTGATGGTATTATAACACTGCTTAAACTATTGCATTTATAGAAACACATATAACCAATTGATGTCACATTTAATGGTATCGTAATACTGCTTAAACTACTACATCCATCAAAACAAAAATTATTAATTGATGTCAAATTTGATGGTATGTTAACACTTATCAAATTACTGCATCCATAGAAACAACCATTACCAATTGATGTTACACCAAATGGTACTGTAATACTATTTAAATTAATGCATCCACTGAAACAACGATCACCAAATGATGTAACACTTAATGGTATTGTAATACTGCTCAAACTACTACATCCACTGAAACAGTCATTCCCAATTGATATCACGGTTTGTGGTATATTATTACCAAATTTCTTTCTATCATTTTGAGTGTAAGTAACATTTTTAAACTCGATGTTTCGACTTTTGTTTCTGTTAATTGTTTCAAAGTCAACATTGAACCACACAATGATTCGATAAAACTCTCTTAAAACAACTTCACTATCTTCATTTTCTTTTGTGTTGATCATAAATCCATTGCCAAAATTCTCATCGTCATTATAAAAATGAAGTGTCTCAATGTTTGGGAAGTACCTAATTGTTTTGGAATTTAACGGAATCGGGTTGAAGTAAAACTTCTCCATATTGCCACCAAACTTCTTGCATACCAACTCCAACTTAATAAAGTCTATGATGGTCTTTAAGTACTTCGAGACTATCATGATGTGATAACCAGAAAGTCTACACATTTTGATATTCTCAGTTTTTTAGTTTTTAAATATTGAAAAATTCGTTTTTTGTAAACATTTTTAAAGAATTATTAAATTAGAGTCATTCAACAATACAAACCATAAAAATAAGAAAATGCGATTCTTAAACAGAAAATTAAATGTAATAAAGGGGGGACAAAAAACCGCTTCCGCTTAAAAACCGATTCTTTCAAAAAAATAGTTTTTTGTTAATTTAATTATAATTAAATTTATAGTTTATTTTTTTCCCGTTTCAACAAAAAAAAGAAAAAATTCAGGGTTTTTTATTCAAACAATATTTTACAAAATGAAAAGAGCCTTTTTATTTTTTTGTGAAAATTTTTTATTACATAAAAAAAGCAAAGTTTGCCGAAGCCATAAACCGAGACTATTAAAAGTAGCAAGCAAAAGTTTATTTTGAGGACAATTAATTACATAAAAACGAAAATAAAAAGTTACACACCAAAAATTATTTTGAATTGTTTTTCAAACTCTTTTTCGATTTTTTGTTGGAATACAAATACTAATAAATCTTGAACCTATGAGTGCACCTTTTTTTCACACCCCCTTTATTTTCCTCTATTTTTTTTCATTGTTTTTTAAGAGTAGAATCGATGATACTCGTGGTGGTTATAAACACACTCAAGAATAAAATTTAATGTTCTAACAGAGTTTGATCATTTTTTATAATGATATATTTACATTTTTGTATCAGAAGATAAATGCACCTTTTTTCCATCACCCCTAAAAAATTATTCCTCAATTAATCAAAAGTGCGTTTTATGGCCAAATTTAAATATTTTATATTGGCAAGTTCCAAGTGAAGACGTTTGAATTACCCATTCCCAACTCTTTTTCAAGTTCATGTTGAGTATTGTATGTACGATGCATCTTCAAGTGTGTGAACAATTTTTTAATAAATTATGACCAAAAAAGAAGCAAAACAATAAATATGGTAATTTTCAATAAAATTTAAAGGACATAATAATGGAAGCGGGTTTTAAAACGCTTGGATGCCGATATATTTTTTTCTGTGTTTTTTGATAAAATTTAAAAACTTTTCAATTATTTTACAAAACCAGTCTTTTTGGTATTATTTTAGTGTTGTTCATTTTAAATTTGGTATGGTATCGGTTTTATACGCCGAGAAGAGAGGATAACAATAAGACGAAAAAGATAGTGCATGGTATCTCCAAAGTCGGCAACATTTCTTATTGGTAAAAAAATCAAAAAAATCCGTGTTTCATACTACAATTTTTAACAAATTGGCAACAAAATACAATATTTTGCTGATAAAATTAACTCGAATAAAAGTTTCAAAAATGTGGCATAATTTACTTTTAAATACCAAAATACATGTAATTTATTGGCAAGTTTACACCAAAAAGAAGGGAAGCGGTTTTAAAACCTCGAGCAAAATCACAAAAAATAATATGGCATTGTACAATAATTGGTTATATTTTTAAGTTATATAAAGCCAAGATGGTGAGGGTATCGGTTTTATTGTCCATTCAATTATGTTGCCCAAAAATGTATTTATCAATTTGGGTATAAAAATTGTTGAAGAAAGAGGTTGTGTTCTTTCAACATGTAACCAAAAGATGATAGTTTTTAAATGAATAATAATACAATGACACAGTTAAATGTTGCCCGAAAGACAAAAATTGTTTTTATTAATTATTTACACGGTGTTTCATCAAGCACTCATGGTGTTAATTTGGTGTTTATTATAGGATAAAAAATGATTTTTTATAGTTAATTAAATTAAAATATTATTAATTTAATTCACAAAGGGGATGAAATTAAAGATAGGAAGAGAAAAGTAAAAATTGGTTTCTGAACTTCATCACTGCCCCAATAGTGAACATACAACACAATTACGAATATTAACAATTATTCAATTATAGTTGTTAATAAATTCGATTCACCGAAGAATCAATTTGGTTGTATACTCTTATTTACTTGACAGTTAAATGAATTGTGTTGTGGCTTTCATTTATATCGATCCAAATCAAAACATGCGTTTTATGTTTTATAGATTCTTCAATTAAAGTAACGAAATGATATAACCAAAGAACAATAAATATATAACTATATTTACTAAAAAATATCAGAATGATTATTATTTATTAATAGAATGTAAATAGTTTTTTTAAAATAAAAACTATAAATTTTATTTAAGTAATTTATTATAACTATTCTATAAAAAACAAATCCAACACACACAAAACATTAGTTCATTAAATATAACAATACTTAAATTGTTTGCAATAAGTTTAATCAATAACAACGCATCAATCCAATGAGTTGATTGAGCTTAAAACCCCATTTGATAACCCAGGTATACTACATATAACTACGAGTAAGTTCAGATAAAAAAAGTGATGCACGCCAACAATAAAACTATACATTATAATTTAAATAATTACATTTTTAATATTTATCAGAATCCTTAAAACATCATGTGATATATAATTCGACCAAACATAATCTTTATAAACTTATGGCACCTTCTGGTATTAAACAGCCTTATAAACTGAGCTCGGAAAAGGTTAAAAGCCTCCACCTTGCAGGTCCTAAAATTCCAAATAGTTTAGGCCTCATTGAATATCTTAAAACATGTCCAGACACTTTTGAAAAGTTTAAAAATTTAGAAAAAAAAATGTAATTTGGCTCAATTTTCATTCTTTTAGAGATCAGATCCGTTTTTGTTTTTTTGAACTTCCGTCCGATATTTCAGAATCGCTCAAAACAAACAATCTTTCATTTTTGGTATCTTTGGAGCTTTTTTCGGGACAATGAAATCTCATGGAGTTAAAACACAAATTTCTAAAATTAAAAAAGAAATGAAAACAGGACAAAAACCCGAAAAAGGACGACCAAGAAAGCTAACAGATTTGGAAATTGAAAAACTTCAAGCTGAAATTAAAAATGTGGGGAGTTCTTCTTCTTTGGGTGCTGGCTTGTTTATTAAGCAAAATTTCGGGAAAAATTTAGAGAGGAGGCAATTGCATCAAATTGTCGGACACATTGAAGGTTTAGAGAAAAAAGTGGCACCTGTA